TAAATTGCCCGTAGTGTTCAGGGATGTGAAGATTAGGTAGGTTATAGGGGGATGGGTCTGGGTGGGATGCTCTGAGGTTTGGTGTGGACTTGTTGGGCCGAAAGGCTTGTTTCCACACTGTAGGGATTCTATGAAATCCAATCCAATCCAGTCTAGGCCATACTAGACTTGGTATCAGGGAAAGAGCCAGGACAGGTGATCAATGTTTCAGTAGGAGAGCATTTTGGACCTAGTGACCATAATTCCATAGGATTTCGAGTAGCCATGGGCAAGGACAGGACTGGTCCTCAGGTGAGGGTGTTTAATTGGGCAAGGGCCAATTACATCCAAATTAGACAGGAACTGGGGAATGTGGATTGGGAGCAGTTATTTAAGGGCAAATCTACGTCTGGCATGTGGGGGGCTTTTAAAGACCAGTTGACTAAAATACAGGGCATGCATGTCCCTGTAAAACTGAAGGATAGGAATGGCAGGATTCAGGAACCATGGATGACAACAGAAATTGTAAACTTAGTCAAAGGGAAAAGGGAAGCATATGATATGTCCAGGCAGCTACAAACTGACAAAGCCTTTGAGGAGTATAGAGAAATTAGGAAGGAACTTAAACACGGAATTAGGAAGGCTAAAAGGGGCCATGAAATGTCTTTCGCAAACATGGTCAAGGAGAATCCCAAGGCTTTTTATGCATATATTAGAAGAAAGAGAGGAGCAAGGGAAAGCGTAGGCACCCTTAAGGGCACAGGAGGGAAGTTATGCGTGGAGCCACAGGAAGTGGGAGAGATCCTCAATGAGTACTTTGTATCAGTATTCACCAAGGAGAAGGACATGACTGATGTTGGGGTCAGGGATGAGTGTGTGAATACTTGAGAGAATGTCAGTATATTGAAGGAGGAAGTTTTGGGTATCTTAAATTGCATTTAGGTAGACAAGGCCCCAGGGATAGATGGGATCTATCCCATGGCAGATCGGTACAAAAACTAAAATCACATGGGATTCAGGGTGGGCTGACGAGATGGATAGAAAGCTGGCTTGGTCATAGAAGACAGAGGGTAGCGGTGGAAGGGTGTTTTTCAGAATGGAGACCGATAACTAGTGGTCCTCTGTTATTTGTGGTATATATAAATGATCTGGAGGAAAATGTGGGTAGCCTGATTTGTAAGTTTGCAGATGACACAAAGATAGGTGGTATAGCTGATAGTGCTGACGATTGTGAAAGGATACAACAGACTGTCTGTGTGGAGTTTGCACATTCTCCCTGTGTCTGCGTGGGTTTCCTCCGGATGCTCCGGTTTCCTCCCACAGTCCAAAGATGTGCAGGCTAGGTGGATTGGCTGTGCTAAATTGCCCTTGGTGTTTCAGGGATGTGTAGATTAGGTGGGTTAGAGGGGAATAGGTTTGGATGGGTGCTGTAAGGGTCAGTGTGGACTTGTTGGGCCAAAGGGCCTGTTTGCACACTGTAGGGATTCTATGATATAGATAGATTGGTGACTTAGGCACAGAAATGGCAGATGGAGTTTAATCCTGACAAATGTGAGGTGATGCATTCTGGATGATCTAATTTAGGTGTGAATTAAACTGTAAATGGTAGAACCCTCAGGAACATTAACATTCAGATGGATCTGGACGTGCATGTCCGCAGTTTCCTAGACGTGGAAACACAGGTTGTCAAAGTGAATAAGAAGGCATATGGCATGCTTGCCTTCATCGGTCGGGGCATGGAGTACAAGAGTTGGCAAACTAAGTTGCAGCTGTATAAAATCCTTGTTAGGCCGCATTTGGATTATTGTGTGCAGTTTCGGTTCCTACACCACCAGAAGCTTTGGAGAGAGTGCAGAGAAGGTTCACCAGGATGTTGCTCGGTCTCAAGAGCATTGGCTATGAAGAAAGGTTAAAAAGATAAGGATTGTTTTCACTGGAAAGGCGCTGGCTGAGAGGACACCTGTTGGAGGTCTACAAAATTATGAGAGGCATCAATAGGGTGGATAGTCAGAGGCTTTTTCCCAGGGCTGAAGTTTCAATTACAAGGGGGCACAGGTTCAAGGTGAGAGGGGGAAAGTCTAAGGGAGATGTGTGAGGAAGGTATTTCATGCAGAGAGTGGTAGGAGCCTGGAATGCACTGCCAGAGGAGGTGGTGGAAGCGGGCACGTTGGTGACATTTAAGAGGTGTCTGGATGGTTACATGAATAGGGAGGGAATAGAGGGATATGGACTGAATAAGGGCAGAAGGTTTGTTTTATAATTCAGTCGGGGTGTGATGATCGGCACAGACTTGGAGGGCTGAAGGGCCTGTTCCTGTGCTGTACTTCTGTTTTGTTTTTCTGTTTTTTGTGTGTAGGTAGGGTTAATAGTAGTTGTATTTTCCCTAGGATGGGGGATTTCAAGACTAGGGGACACATTTTTAAGAGGAGAGAAATTTAAAAAAGACATAAGAGGTAATATTTTTACACAGAGGGTGGTTCGCGTGTGGAATAAATCTCCTGAGGAAGTGGTGTTTAATAGATATTTGGATAAGTACATGAATAGGAAAGGTTTGGAGGCATATGGGCCAGGAGCAGGCATGTGGGACTAGTATAGTTTTGGGTAGTGTTCGAAGGGTCTGTTTCCGTGCTGTATAACTCCATGACTCTATGATTTGTTGCTGTGACTTTGCACCACTTGCAGTCATTGGACACCAGAAGTAAGAACAATTTCTAATTCACAATAGTGTAAAACCATTCAAATTTTCCATCAAACAAATCTTTCCCCTTCACCACACTGAATAAACAGGTCAATCCCCAAAATAATGTTGACCAAATGGGCTGGGTCTGCTGAATGGGTTAATACATCTCCCTTCATAGTAATATCGTCCAGACTAGTGTTTATGGATTCATCAATATTCCATTATATGTTGATCCCGTTTATACCCAATTTGCTGTTGGTAGATTTTTTTTTGTAATTCCAAATCTGTTGAATAATACATTTAATAAGCAAATCTATTTTTTGAACTATCAGCTCCCAGACACCTGAGCAACAGATTATCCAGCGAATACTCCAAGAGAGTGTTGTCAGCTTGTCAAAAGCTTATCGTTTTGATAAATCTAATGGTTAGAAAGGAGTTTTCAATGTGCCCTAAGCAACAGGGCTTATTATTACAACTGAAAGGTCACCATCAAACAGTCTGTCATAACAGAAAACAAAATAATAATAATCTGGCGGCAAAGACAATCTATAATGACAGCAGCAATGTTCCCAAACCATTATGTAAACACTGATAAGTGAGATTGGAAACCATTATGGTAAATGGAAAGTCATTCCACAGCCTATAGATCATAGAATCCCTACTGTGTGGAAGCATGCCATTCGGCCCATTGTGTCCACACTGACCCTCCAAAGAGCATCCATCCAGACTCACCCCATTCCTGTAACCCTGCATATCCCACCTAGCTTGCATATCCCTGGATAATATTGGCAATTTAGCATGGCCAATCCACCTGATCTACACATCTTTGGACTGTGGGATGAAACCCACAGAGACATTGTGCAAACTCCACACAGACAGTTGCCCAAAGGTGGAATCGAACCTAGTGCTTTTAGGCAGCAGTGCTAACCATGGAGCCACCGTGTCTAGACTTTGTTTAAATACAATATTTTAATTAAATAGAAGCACTGAATGAATACATTACTTAACAAATTATTTTCCTTAACTAGTTTTAAGGATCAGTTGTCATGCAAGCTCCTCATTCTCACTCTCTGTGTTAAGGTGTGCTATTCCCAGTCTGTACAAACTATCCTGGGTCACCACCTCTCAGGCTGACACCTCTGCAACACTTCATTGATCTGTTGGTTTGCAATGTCTCTGCTGGTGAAGAAATCGTCCAGATAATTATACAGAAATGTGTTGGACTAATCTTGGATCCAACCATAAACAGAATCTTGTCAAAACCAAGTAAATATTTTCCAAGTCGCTCCCTCAAATCATCCAACAATCACACTCTCCTCATTTCCCTTTGTAACTCTGTACCCAAAACCCAATTTCTCCCTGAAAGCACCAAGTATGGCAATCGTACTTGTAGTGGTTGTACCGAGGTCAGTCAGCTGGACATCACAGAATATGAGTTCCCCAATTGGGGCTGTTAGCCTGGTCCAATCAGGGGCTGACATAAAAGAATGAATGTCAGAAATGTCAGCCTGAATGCCTGACTCAGTGAGAGGTGGTGACGTTGTCAAAAATGATGCATTTGTAAATAAAGAGTGATCGGTAATGGGATGCCAGCCTCTGAAGAGTTATTTCAGGATTCTCGCATCATTATTATGTCATTATGACCACTCTCTGGCTGAGGGCATTGTTGGCGAGAACAGATTGTTCTTAATCGCGCTGAGATGTTAGAGGTAGTCCTGCTGACTGACATGAAATAGTGACACTCAAGTCCATGTCGAAGGGATATTTAAGACCCTTCAGTTATGTGGATAGGAGATTCAATAGAGGTGCTTAAAATTACGAGGGTGGTATTGATTTACGAACCAAGAGGGAACTGTTTCCATTGAATGGTGGCTCGCTAACCAATGGACAAGGTTTTATGACAATTGCCGAAAGCATGGAGAGATGAGCAGTTTGATCTTTCTATGAAGTGAGTTGTTACAATCCAAAATGAACTGTTTGAAAGGAGCTGAAACTTTAAAAACAGAAGTGGGTAAGCATTTGAAATAAAAAAAGCAATTTTGGGCTCTTGGGGGCAAGTACAAGATAAAAGGGACTCGACAGTTAGCTCTTTGAAAGAGCTAGCACAGGCTGAAAGGCTGAGTGTCCTCCTTCTGCGCATTAAAATCTATGGTTCTATCATAAGGACATGCCTTGTCATTGTGCTCCTTCTTCTGTGTCCCCAAGGAACATGTAAGTCTCAGGCAGAGGAGAGAGGTGCTGAGTATCTCCAGCACTTGCAGTATTTTGCTTTTATTGGGGTGTACCAGGTGGGTACAGCTGTAAACCCAACGACCCTCACCCTGCCACTCCCATCACTGACCTGTGTAGACAAACCTCCCTGGTGCTCCTTTACAGAACTGCTTCGACTTGTAAGACAGCGTGACTTCCACCACTCCCGGGATGTGCCGTGGGGGCGTCTGCACTCGGATGGCATGAGGCGTGATCAGCTGTCCCGGAAACAGACAGAAAAATAAATCCAAAGTTCACGTTAAAATCTTTCAACGCACTCAAGACAACCGGTAAACATGAGGACAGTTATTAGTGCTCCAATCACAATCACTGGCATTGAGCTCAATGGGCAGACTACCAAACAGAAAGTTAAGAGGAGATTTTCGAAATCACAAGGGCTCTTAATAAGAGTATATAAGGAGAAAGCATTCTCAGGAGCGTTTTAGAAACTGCTAAGAGTCTTCTTTTGGCATTTGAGCTAATATTCATCCTGTTACCAATAAGATCATCCAAATATCTATCCTGTTCTTATTTGTGCAGCCTTGATGTGTGCAATTTAATTGCCTGATCTAACTGCAGAGCATTTCACTTCAGTTTTCCAAACTTTAATACCCTCACTATTTCTTGTTTACTTCTGAATTCAAAGGCAAAACGGCGTCTCTCCCTCTCTCTTGATCACTCACACATTGGCTGTGAATTTAACATTTGCCAAGGGCTGTTATTTTGGCCATTATGCTAGTTTCTTTTATCCTTGAAATTTGCCCTCTCCAGGGGCAGCCGCTGGACCCTGGATGCCCCCTCTGATATACTGCACTGGGGGCGATGATACAATCACAGCTAAGTCCAATACTATTCCCACCAAGATATTAAGCAGATGCATTCCCTGATAGAAAGGGAGATCTTTGCTACAGATCAATATAGGGATACAGAGAGACAGGCAGACAGAGACCCTCTGCAATCACCAGCCCCGACATTGTAAGAGAGACTAGAACGGGGATGTTTTCCCTAGAGCAGAGAAGGCTGAAATGGGCAGGGATATGATGCAGGTGTACAAAATTACGAGGAGCATCAAAACCATAGATAGGGAGAACATTTTCCTGTGAGTAGAGGGTCACTATGCCGACCCCACTGTTTTAAGTTAAGGAGCAGGAGGTTTAGAGGTGATTTGTGGAAAAAATGATTCCACCCAGAAGTGTCTAGGCCCAATACGTCAGCCTTCCTGCTCCTATGATACTGCTTGGCCTGCTGTGTTCATCCAGCTCTACACCTTGTTATCTCAGATTTTCCAGCATCTGCAGTTCCTACTATCTCCACCCAGAGTGTGGTGGGTATATGGAACTCAGTACCTGAAAAGGTGGTGGAGGTGGGAACTCTCAAGGCATATAAGAGCTATTTGGATGTGCACTTGAAATGCCAAGGCTATGAGTCAAGCATTGGAAAAAAAATGGCATTAGAACAGAGAAATGCCTGATGACCAGCATAAACACAGTGGGCTGAAGAGCCTTTTTCTATGCCGTATAATCTCTATGTTTCCAGATTGACTAAGCCAAAGCATTTGAGGCTCAAACCGCAGAACTTCTGGGTCTCCTCATCTCGCAGAGCCAACATTGTGAGGAGAAGTCATGGACCACTAATAAAAGAAAATGTCACAGTTTATTTTTCCCTGAGGGTGCGGGCATAACAGCAAGAGGCAGCTGAGCAAAAGCACCCAGATAGCTACTGAAGGGAAGCAGTGTGAAAGGAAGGAGGGAGTCACTACTCCCCAAGTCTGACCATCACTGAGGGAGTAGACTCCAAGGGGAGAGACTGAAAAAAACAGGTGAAAGAGCTGGGATGGTGGGAAAGAAATACTGTGTTATTATTTTATTTACAAGCTAGACATGCGCATTTAAACATTAGTAGAGCTCCAATTGCTATAGGTAAAACAGCGTAGCTGCAGCCCAACTGACAGATCAATGGGTCGTTCTATTCTAAGATTTAAGACGTACCTCACTCCAGACCAGCATCGTTCCAAAAACAACCTGTAACCCATCAAAGAAGTTGTCTCCGATAATGATGACAGTGGCTCCGCCTGTAGTCCACCCTTCACTCGGGCTAATCGCTTTGATGCATGGAGTGGCTGCTTTGCAAGAGGAAAAATACAGCTCTTTAGCACCTCTGAAGATTTCCAACTGCACACAAATCTCCTCCCAATTTAACCCCCGTGTCACTTCCTTGCTTTTAACTAAATTCTCTTGTGCAACCTGAGTGTCGCTGGCTGGCCAGCACTTTTTTAATGCCCGTCCCTAGTTGCCCTTGAGAAGGTAGTGGTGAGCTGCCTTCTTGAACCGCTGCAGTCCATGTGCTGTGGGTTGACCCACAATACCCATAAGGAGGGAATTCCAGGATTTTGACCAGTGACAGTGAAGGAACAGTGATATATGTCCAAGTAAGGATGGTTAGTGGCTTGGAGGGGAACTTGCAGGTGGTGGCATTCCCATACAAACACAACTTTCGCACGTAATCCTCAAGACATTTCCACGGCACAAATACGACAGGACAGTGGTCAGCTGACTCCCCAAAATCATTCCTGATGTCGGCCAGTTAGACTGAGGGGTGGGTTCGGGATCGGGTGAGAGTGAGGTATGCAGGCAATGTGACTCCTTAAGGAATCTTGGTTATTCCAGAATTGAGGAAAGCTGACTGGGATATTTTCCATCAGCTACCTGCCTCCTCACGCCACCAATCACATAGAAGTGGGCACCAGCTGGCAAAGGGCGATACATGTACTCCAATGAGGCTGACAGGCTACTGTTACCACAATGTTGACAAGTGGGGCCCTCAGTGATGATAACACAACTGAATGTCAAGGGGAACTGGCTAGACTATTGGAGGTAGAGATAGTAGGAACTGCAGATGCTGGAGAATCCAAGACAACAAGGTGCAGGGCTGGATGAACACAGCAGGCCAAGCAGCATCATAGGAGCAGAAAGGCTGACGTTTCGGGCCTAGATCCTTCATCAAAATAGGGGGAGGGGAAGGGGGTTCTGAAATAAATAGGGAGAGAGTGGGAGGCGGATAGAAGACGGATAGAGGAGAGGATAGGTGGAGAGGAAACAAACAGGTCATAGAGGCGGGGATGGAGCCAGTAAAGGTGAGTGAAGGTGGGGAAATAGGGAGGGGATAGGTCAGTCCAGGGAGGACGGACAGGTCAAGGGGGCGGGATGAGGTAAGTAGGTAGGAGATGGGTGTGCGGCTTGAGGTGGGAGGAGGGGATAGGTGGGAGGAAGAACAAGTTAGGGAGGCGGGGACAAGCTGGACTGGTTTTGGGATGCGGTAGGGGGAGGGGAGATTTTGAAGGTTGTGAAATCCACATTGATACCATTGGGCTGCAGGGTTCCCAAGCGGAATATGAGTTGCTGTTCCTGCAACCTTCGGGTGGCATCGTTGTGGCACTGCAGGAGGCCCAGGATGGACATGTCGTCTGAGGAATGGGAGGGGGAGTTGAAATGGTTCGCGACTGGGAGGTGCAGTTATTTATTGTGAACCGAGCGTAGGTGTTCTGCAAAGCGGTCCCCGAGTCTCCGCTTGGTTTCCCCGATGTAGAGGAAGCCACACCGGGTACAGCGGATGCAGTATACCACATTGGCAGATGTGCAGGTGAACATCTGCTTGATGTGGAAAGTCTTCTTGGGGCCTGGGATGGGGGTGAGGGAGGAGGTATGGGGGCAGGTGTAGCACTTCCTGTGGTTGCAGGGACAAGTGCCGGGTGTGGTGGGGCTGGAGGGGAGTGTGGAGCGGACAAGGGAGTCACGGAGAGAGTGGTCCCTCCGGAAAGCAGATAAGGGTAGGGAGGGAAACATGTCTTTGGTGGTGGGGGCGGATTGCAGATGGCGGAAGTGTCGGAGTCCCTCTACACCTGCATTCCCCATACAGATGGCCTAAAGGCCCTCCGCTTCTTCCTGTCCCGCAGGCCCGACCAGTCCCCCTCCACTGACACCCTCATCCGCTTAGCCGAAATCGTCCTCACCCTCAACAACTTCTCTTTCAATTCCTCCCACTTCCTACAGACAAAGGGGGTGGCCATGGGTACCCGCATGGGCCCAAGCTATGCCTGACTCTTTGTAGGTTACGTGGAACAATCCCTCTTCCGTACCTACACTGGCCCTAAACCCCACCTCTTCCTCCGTATCGGCGTATTGATGACTGTATCGGCGCCGCCTCGTGCTCCCACGAGGAGCTCGAACAGTTCATCCACTTCACCAACACCTTCCACCCCAACCTTAAGTTTACCTGGACCATCTCTAATACCTCTCTCTCCTTCCTGGAGCTCTCTGTCTCCATCTCGGGCAACCACCTAGAAACCGATATTCATTTCAAGCCCACCGACTCCCACAGCTACCTAGAATACTCCTCCTCCCACCCACCTTCCTGCAAAAATGCCATCCCCTATTCCCAATTCCTTTGCCTCCGCTGCATCTGCTCCCAGGATGAGGCATTCCACTCCCGTACATCTCAGTTGTCCTTGTTTATCAAGGATGGTAACTTCCGCCCCTCAGTGGTCGAGAACGCCCTCAACCGTGTCTCCCACATCTCCCGCAACTCATCCCTCACACCCCGTCCACGCAATAAGGACCAAAAAAGAATCCCCCTCGTCCTCACATACCACCCCACCAACCTCCGAATCCAACGCATCATGCTCCGACACTTCCGCCATCTGCAATCCGACCCCACCACCAAAGACATCTTTCCCTCCCCACCCTTATCTGCTTTCCGGAGGGACCACTCTCTCCATGACTCCCTTGTCCGCTCCACACTCCCCTCCAGCCCCACCACACCCGGCACTTTTCCCTGCAACCACAGGAAGTGCTACACCTGCCCCCATACCTCCTCCCTCACCCCATCCCAGGCCCCAAGAAGACTTTCCACATCAAGCAGATGTTCACCTGCACATCTGCCAATGTGGTATACTGCATCCGCTGTACCCGGTGTGGCCTCCTCTACATCGGGGAAACCAAGCGGAGGCTCGGGGACCGCTTTGCAGAACACCTACGCTCGGTTCACAATAAATAACTGCACCTCCCAGTCGCGAACCATTTCAACTCCCTCTCCCAGGGCTCGGGCGTAGATCTCGTCCTGGGCCCCTGGAGTGGCACAACGATGCCACCCGAAGGTTGCAGGAACAGCAACTCATATTCCGCTTGGGAACCCTGCAGCCCAATGGTATCAATGTGGATTTCACAACCTTCAAAATCTCCCCTCCCCCTACCGCATCCCAAAACCAGTCCAGCTTGTCCCCGCCTCCCTAACCTGTTCTTCCTCCCACCTATCCCCTCCTCCCACCTCAAGCCGCACCCTCATCTCCTACCTACTAACCTCATCCCGTCCCCTTGACCTGTCCGTCCTCCCTGGACTGACCTATCCCCTCCCTAACTCCCCACCTACACTAACCTTTACTGGCTCCATCCCCGCCTCTTCGACCTGTTTGTTTCCTGTCCACCTATCCTCTCCTCTATCCATCTTCTATCCACCTCCCACTCTCTCCCTATTTATTTCAGAACCCCATTCCCCTCCCCCTTTTCTGATGAAGGGTCTAGGCCCAAAACGTTAGCCTTTCTGCTCCTATGATGCTGCTTGGCCTGCTGTGTTCATCCAGCCCTGCACCTTGTTGTCTCAGACTATTGGAGGTAGTCACTTGTTTGGGGTTAATGTTATTTGCCATTTTTCAGCCAAAGCCAGACCTTGCTGCACTTGGACATGAATTGCTTCAATACCTAAGAAGTCATGAATGGCGCAAAACACTGTGCAACCATCTGTAAACATCACCATTTCAGACCTGAGGATGACGGGAGATTATTGATGAAGCAATAGTCAACTGTTAACTCCATTATCAACATCCGAAACCTAACCCGACCAACCTGTATCTTATATAAATACTGCGCTACAAGAGCAGGTCAAAAGGTGGGAATTCTTCAGTGAGTCACTCACCTTCAGTCTCCCCAAAGCCTGTCTATCACCTACAAGACATAAGTCTGAAGGGTGATGGAATTTTCGCCACTTGCCTGGTTGCGTTTAGCTCCAACAACACTCAAGAAGCTCCAGGTCAAAGCAGCCCACTTGGTTGGTATCACATCCACCACTTTCAACACTCTTCCCTTTCATTGCCACAGCACATTAGCAGCAGCTGTACCCATGTACAAGATCCACTGCTACAACTTGCCAAAGTCACTTCTGCCTGTAACCTCTACCATGTAGAAGGGCTCGAGGCAGCAAATGCTTGGGAACTCCACGACCTGCCAGTTCCCTCACAAGCCACCACCTTCCTGATCTGAAAATAGATTGCTGCTCATCCTCTGCAGCTGGGTCAAAATCATGGAACTCAATCGCTAATAGCATTATGGGTGAACCTTCAGCACATGACAGCTTGCCACCATCTTCTCAAGGGCAATTATGTATAGACAATATACCCTGGCCTTGTCATTAATAGTAACGATCCATGGATGGACAAAACAAACCAGCTCACCTTTAGTCATTTATTTATCATGATACTTCAGCCACTACTGACCTATTAAATATCGAGCCCATCCCCCACATCTATATCCTATCTACCATTAAAAGCAATTCTTTCTATCACCTGGGTTATTGCATCAGTAAAGTACTTATCTTCACTTCTTTAAGACCAAGGGTCACTCACATGAATATCCATGGAAGACAACTGGTACAGAATCCCAGAAGCGTTATGTCCACAGAAAGAGGCCATTCAGCTGATCATGCTTACACGGACTTATTAAATGAGCATTATGACCTGATGACAATCTCCTGCATCTTCACCATACCCTTGCACACTATTTCTATCTCAATGACCATCGAATGCCCTTTTGAAAGCACCACCACTTTCTCAAGCGCAACTAGGGATGGTCAATAAATGATGGCCCAGCCAGAGATGCCCCTGTCCAGTGAATGAATTGAAAATAAAAATTGAACCTGCTTCCACCACATTTTCAAGCAACGCATTCCAGGAGGT